TTACATTATATATATATATATTATTCATAAGTTATAACATCAATTTTTATTTTACTTATTTATATGTATTACATTATATATATATATTAGTCATAAGTTATAACATCAATTTTTATTTTTTAATTAAATTATTATTTTATTATAATACTATTTCACAAATAATATGACAAATAAACTAATGGTATATATTAAGTTTTCATTTTAATATAAATACAAATATGTTTAAGAATTATAAATTTTATAATTTTTGTTATATTTTAATTAAAGTTTATTTAAAAAATAATAGAACATATAAAAAATGATAAATATTAATATATATGTTTTATAATTACAGAAATTATGTATATTTACTTTTATTGAAATGATTGTATATATTATATTTATAAATTATAACATAAATTTCTTTTATAATCTTTTCGAATTTAAATTATATTTAATTGAATTAGTATTATATTATAATATTATCTTAATATAATAGAATAAATAAAATAATGATAAATATGAATTTAATTAATTAAAATTTAATATAATTTGTTTTTGTTGTAATATAAAATAAATTGGTTAGTTATATAATTTTATTTTAAATTTTTATAAAATTATTTAGAGATCATTGCTCTGGAAATGCTCCATTTGAGAGCATTAAAGGAATATCATTTTGAGAGTATTTGCAGTTACTAAATGCGCTACTTAATGCTCTATCAACTAATCAAATTTTAATGATTAAAGGTATAATACTCTTTAAAATGCTCTGCCAATCAAACCCTTATACTGGCATAGACCGGACTACCATTGGTGGCATACATCACACTTCATATTGATGTAGAATTTGTACCATATGACATAATTTGTTTGTTTACAAAATATGAAATTATTTTTATCAAATCAATATGGAACAAGAAACATGACTTTTACAATTAAGAAAATTTAACACAATACCAAATGATTTATATGTAATTCATCACAATAAAACGATAATATGCTACAAATCATATGATTTTGAAGCCATATGCTTGTAGGATGTTTGTTATACACTTGCGAGAAGAAGCTTAGATTATCTTGAAGTTATACGCTTGCGAGATGTTGATTTAGTAGATCGATCATGGAAGTTAGGAGCAACGTTTTTCGGATTTGGATGGACACATATCGACTCGTTTGGGAACTCACACCTTATTGTTCTAGAAATAAACGTCATAAGTTATCATTTCTTCACTATCGGTTTAAAGCTCTCTAAAGAGTAGTGCAATGTATCTCCCTTGAGCATTTTCGAAATCCAACATCCAAGACATATTTCAAGGATATTGTGATGATGATCCATCGATCACATGAGTGGTCTACCTTTTCCATGGAGTCGTTAGAGCTTAGTCGTTTGTGTGCACTTTTCAATTCTTGTACGGTCTCTCTTTCGTTACATGAGCCAAACTCAAAGGCTTACCACTTGACTCACTTTGCTAGAGC